CAATCTTCAATAGTGAGGGCGAACCAACATATCATCCTACCTCTTCTAGAGATTCTAAAAAGAGCTCTATAAGTGAGAACAATCAGAAGGTTGAGGAACAAATCGAAACTTCGTCGCCTAAAACCAAAACTCAAAATTTCCATACTAGTGGGTCTGAGCGAGAATGTGATATGGAGAAAGAAGCACAAGACAAAACAATCAAGGATGATATGGAGGTGGAACACACTGACATGCGTGTCGAAGAAGAAACTGAGAATGACTCTCCAAGAGTCGAAAACTCGGATGCCATCTTGCAAAATCAAGATGAAAATATGGAAAAGGTGGAGGGTCACTCCTTGTTTCTCAACTATAATATGCCTCCTATTGAAGAATTTGAAGAAGAAGAAGGCAATGTTAAAGCAGTCGAAAGTGGAGATGAAGAACAGAATGAAGAAACTCAAGATGGCATAACCCATCAACCAATCCTTGACCCTAATCCAACGAATATAAAAGATTTGAATGGAACTACTGCAGCCTTTTCTACAGAGTAACTCGTTGCTTTAAAGAAGAACAATCCTCGCAAATATCTAAAGACACTGCTTAAATCTAGAGGGAGTTCATTTGAGAAAAGTCTTAGTTCTTCCTCAGTGTCAAGCGGCCAGTTCTCGACTAATCCTGCAACTGAGATACTCTCGAAAATCAAGGACAAGGTTTTTAAAGGTGGCCAATTTCGGCTTTTGGAATCTGACTATACTTTTCTGGTTGCTGTAAAAGGTCTCCTTAAAAAGGTTGACATTCTGACTGCTTCTCCCGAAGTTGCAAACATCATATTCAAATTAGGTTCACTTAATCAAGCAGGCCAGTGCTATATCATCTACATAAACCAAAAGGACAACAAGAGACTAACCCATTCCTTTTGTGAATAAGGAGTGATCTGCTGATGATTGTGTGAAACCATATGTTATGACAGTGGTGGAGAATTTGTGATACCATTGTCTTAAGGTTTTCCTTAATTCATAAAGTGATTTGTTGAGTTTGCATACCATGTTTTCCCCCTCACTTGGATAGCCAAGTGGCATATCCATGTATATTTCTTCAACCAAATCACCATTCAAGAAGGCATTGTTGATATCAAGTTGAGCAAGTTTCCAATTCTAAGCAGCAGCTACAATGAGTACAACTATGACTGATGTGAGTTTTGCCACATTTGAGAAAGTACTATGAAGTCAAGGCCAGGTTGTAGAGTGTAACCTTTGGCAACCAACTTAGCTTTGTGTTTGTCCAAGGATCCATCAGCATGATACTTGGTTTGGTATATCCACCTACACCCAATGGTATTCTTACCTGTTGGAAAAGGTTGTATGGTCCAATATTATTTGCCTCTAGGGCTACTATCTCTTCACTCATGACTGTACACCATTCAGGGATTTTGGATGCTTGATGGTAGAACTATGGCTCATAAACAAATGCTACATTCATGACATAATCCTTGTATTGGGCAGACAGATTGTCATTTGATGAATGGTCATAGATTTGAAAGGGGACATGACACACAAAATCATTGAGATAGGTAGGAATTCTATGAGTCTTGCTGGATCTTCTGAGTTCAGGTGGATTATGGTCATGTAGAACAGTAGGATTAGAATCAAGAATGGGAGTTGTTGGATCAATATTGTCAGGATGCTCAACAACTTGGACTGGTATATTATTTTCAGGGTCATGTGGAGAATGTATACAGATAGGGTTGGGTATGACTATATTACAAAAAGGATCTTCATTTGTGTTATGGTCAGAAATGGAGTGAAAAGGGAAAGTATCTTCATGAAACACAATGTCTCTAGAAATGTGAAAGGTTTTGGAAACAAGGCCATATACTTTGAAACCATTGTATCCAATATGATAACCAAGAAAGACACAAGGAATAGCTCTTGGAGTAAATTTGTTTCTATGTTGAGGAATTATGGAAATGTAGCACAAGCTACCAAAGACTTTAAAGTTAGAGTATGTAGGTAGTTTGTCATTTAGAAGCTCATAAGGAGACTTACTTTTCAAGACCATGAAAGGTGTTCTATTGATAATGAATGTGGTTGTGGCAATGCAATCACCCCAAAACCTGATAGGTAATTTGGCTTGGAACATCAAAGATCTAGCCACATTCAATAAGTTTGATGCTTTCTTTCAACCACAAAATTATGTTCAGGTCTGTAGGGACAAGAATATTGATGAATGGTGCCTTGCTCATGAAGAAATTGAGTCAGCTGCAATTCCTTGGCATTGTCAGACCCCATGGCTTTAATAACCTTGCCAAATTGAGTCTTTATCATGGTAAAGAATTGTTTTATTTTGATATGAGCCTTTGATTTTTTAGCAATCAAATAGACCCATGTAAAACGACTGAAATCATCAACAATTGTTAGAAAATAGGATTTACCATTATAGGTAGTTTTTCCAAAGGGACCCCATAAATCACAATGAATGAGATCAAAACAATTGGGAGAAAAATTATTAGCAAATTTAAAGGGAATCCTTTTTAATTTGCTAGAGGGCAAATGGTACACTTGTTGGAATCAAAAGTAGAGGGAACAACAAACTCTATTTTGCTGCTAGCAATCCTTAACATAGAATCAGAAAGATGTCCTAATCTATGATTCCATAATTGACACTGTTATTGGATGAAACTATATTACAATAACTAAGATTATTATTACAAGACTTATAGGAACTGTCATGATGCTTGTTATTGTAGGTCTTGAGAATGTACAATCCTAAAATGAGGTTACCCTTGCCAATCATCTTGGATTGTTTTGTGTCTTGAATGAAAATATGATGACCATCAAATTCAATTGTAGACTAGGTAACACAAGTAACTTGGCTACTGAAATGAGATTAACATAGAATGAGGGAACATGTAGGACATTATGAAGGGTCATATCATCATTGATAATGACCGTGCCAATGACTTTGACAGGGATCTGAGCTCCATTAGGGAGAGTGACAAATTTATCTATCAAGGGTTTGTATGAACGAAAGAAAGAGATATTGCAATGAATATGAGAAGTAGCACCTGAATCTATGATCCAAAGACCAGAAGATTATGATTTATGTGAGTCAAGAGTGGAAAAACTCATACCTATGACAAAGTTAATAGCATGATTTGCCTCAGAGATCCTAGACTTGGACGTTTGAGCTTGGAGATATTCAATAATCTGCTGGAAATTTTGTGATGTCATAACTGCTACATCAAATCCTGCTGCAGTACCTAAAATGCTTGGCTCATGAATGTTGTGGTTGTGTTGAAAAGACTTGGAACCTGGAGCAGTCTTTCTATAACCAAGAGGGTAGCCCTATAGTTTAAAGCATTTCTCTTTGACATGGCCTAGCATGCCATAATGAGCACAAGTTGGCCTATCTTTCTTGAAATTCTTAGAAGCAGTTTGAACAACACATGCCATAGGGGTTTCATTATGAGGAAGGGTAATGAGCTCTTTTTATTTCTCATCTTGAGTAACCATTGAAAGAACAACATTGATGGAGGGTAAAGGGTCCATGAGTAGGATTTGACCATGCACTTGATTGAATTATTCATTCAATCCCATCAAGAAGGTAAGAGTGTGCTCACTTTGAAGATGATCAATGATGGGTTGCACACCACCACAGTCACACGTATGAGTAGGCCTGAATTCACCTAGTTCTTCCCATTATGACTTAAACTGCGTGTAATAGGCACTAACAATTGAAGAACCTTGGGTGCAGTTCATGAGATTCTTCTTCAGCTGAAAAACCCGACGAACATTTTTCTGTTGAAAACGATCATGTAGTTCATGCCAGATTTCTGCAGCATTAGCTGCATAAATCACACTAGCAGATATTTCCTTCGAAACCGAATTGAGAAGCCAAGAAGATACCATGTTGTTGTTTCGCATCCAAAAACGAAATTGTGGATAATCTTCTGCAGGTTTTGGAATGGTACCATCCACAAACCCAACTTTGTTTTTGCCATCAAGAGCCATGAGCATGACATGACGCCATGAATTAAAGTTATCTCCAACCAGTGGTTGACAGACTAAGACAACTCCGAGATGATCGGGTGAATGGAGATAATAGGGATCATCATGGTTAGCCATGAGAGAAACGAATCACGATGTAAGAGATGGGAGGAAGAAGAAGGAAGAAAGAAGAGAAGATGTGGAAGTAAGATCAAGAAATTTCTGCTGATACCATATTATAGTAAAATGAATTCATGGTGGAAAATTCCATTTAATTTTGTATTGGATGTGATTCAGATTATACAAAATAAGGAACTCACTTATATATGTGAGAAAGAATGAAAGTTAGTTATAACTAACTCTAGCTAGATAGTTACCCTACTAAACTAACTACTAACTAACTAAAATGACTAAAAGCTCTTAATAATTATTTGTATAAATCCTATAGAGGGAGCACTATTAGTAAAAAAAACAAACTTATTATAGTATCTGAAATTAACGTGGAACTCAATTTAGTTTTCAAAAAATGCTATTGTCTTCACTTTGCAGACTGGTGGCCTTGGAGAATTTATATTTTATGATGCATCATTGAGATGTTAATGAGTTGGAGTATCTCCCATTTGAAATAAAAAATTCATTTTGACAAATTTTTGGAAATAAATGATTGAGAAGTTGCAATACATTACCTTTTTTTTAATTTGACACAAGTTGCAATACATTATACTTGTTTTCCAATTTTAATGTCTAATGCGTAAATCTGAAACAGCCGCCTCTCAATGCTTGCTTCTAACAGATTTGTTTATTTTTCTATCCTGTCATTTTCTTCAAACAACTTTCTGCAAAGTCACTTTCATCATAGTTGGCCGGTTGTTGACTTAATAATCTTGTTTTCTCATAATACATCTTCATCTCTCAACCAAACACAACCAAACACAATTCACTGATAGAGCTATCGAGGATTGGCTGCTTAAGCTCAAAGATGCTGCTCACGTCCTCGATGACATCTTGGACGACTGTGCCACTCAACTGTTGGAGATGGAGTCTAAAGGACCCTCACACAAGGTACAAAGCTCTTTCCGGTTCTCTTTTAATCCAAAGAATGTCGCATTCCGTTACAAAATGGCTAAGAATATGAATAACATACGAGAGAGATTAGATGAAATCGCTGAAGAAAGGAACAAGTTTCATTTGAAGGAGATTGTTAGAGAGAAGAGAAGGGGTGTCCTTGACTGGCGCCAAACAACTTCATTCATTGCTCAACCTCAAGTCTATGGAAGAGATGAAGATAAAGATAGAATTGTAGAGTTTTTGGTTGGCGATGCTTCTGGTTTTAAGGATTTATCTGTTTATCCAATAGTTGGTGTTGTAAAATATTTCACTAATGGAATTAAAAGTTCTGCTTACAATGTTGCAACTACATGCTTTAAATAAGAGAGACTAGAAAACCTAATGGGTTTTGACTAATGGGCCTCATTACTAATACTACTAATTACTATTTACAGTCTAATATTTACAACACTCCCCCTCAAGCTGGTGAATGGATATCTATCATTTCCAGCTTGCAAGTAAGTTGCCTGAACCTTTCTGTTGGTAAGCCTTTTGTTAACACATCTGCGAGCTGATGCCCATAAGGAACGTAAGATGTAGTTATCAGCCCACTATCCAACTTCTCTTTGATAAAATGTCGGTCAATCTCAATGTGTTTAGTCCTGTCATGCTGAACAAGATTATGAGCAATACTAATAGCCGATTTATTGTCACAAAACAATTCCATAGGGCCTTCACACTGTATCTTCAAGTCTTCTAGAACTTGTTTCATCCATAATAGTTCACAAATTCTTAGTGCCATAGCTCTAAATTCTGCCTCGGCGCTTGATCGAGCAACTACACTTTGCTTCTTACTCTTCCAAGCTACAAGGTTACCACACAGAAAAGTACAATAGCCTGACGTAGATCTTCTGTCACTCACTGAGTCGGCATAATCTGCATCAGTGTAAGTCTTCATAGCTAAATTCTCACCTCTTTTAAACAAAAGTCCTCTCCCTGGAGTTGCTTTAAGATATTGTAGAACGCGGTCTACAGCCTGCAAATGTCTCACCCTCGGATCATGCATGAATTAGCTCACCACACCGACTGCATAGGCTAAATCTGGTCTAGTGTGTGCCAAGTAAATCAATTTTCCCACTAATCTCTGATATTGACCCTTGTCAACTTTGTCACTTTCCTCCTCAAAGCTTATCGTGTGATTTTGTTCAATGGGAACACTTGCAAGTTTGCATCCAAGTTTGTCAGTTTCTTGCAAAAGATCAAGTCCATACTTCCTTTGAGAGATAAAGATGCCTTGCATTGAGTACACTTGCAAGTTTGCATCCAAGTTTGTCCAAGGTCTTTCATCTCAAACTCTGCCGATAATTTCTCTTTGAGCAAATGTCTCTCAGTCAAATCATCTCCTGTAACAATAATATCATCAACATAAACAAGAAGTACAGTCAATTTTCCTTCCTGTGAATATTTAAAAAATAAAGTGTGGTCTCCTTGACTTTTCTTATAGCCCAAACACACCATTGCCTTTATGAATCTTCCAAACCATGCCCGAGGGGACTGCTTTAGTCCATATAAGACTTTCTTCAATTTACACACCTTGTTAGCTTCATTTGTTATGCCAACGCCCGATGGAATCTCTATATACACTTCTTCCTCTAAGTCTCCATGCAAGAATGCATTTTTAACATCAAATTGTTGCAGTTCCGATCCACATGAAGCAACAAGAGATAGTAAAATTCGAACAGTGTTCATTTTTGCCACTGGGGCAAATGTCTCCTCATAATCAATACCATATGTCTGAGTATAACCTTTTGCCACTAGTCTTGCCTTGTACCGATCAAGTGTGCCATCAGATTTATACTTTACAGCATAGATTCATCTGCATCCAACCGACTTTTTGTCTCTTTGCCTTTCAATAATCTCCCATGTACCATTTTTTTCAAGTGCTCTCATTTCCTCATCCATAGCTTGGACCTAATTTCTATTTTGCAATGCTTCTTCAACTGATAATGGGATTTTCACAGAATCAATAGCTGCAATAAAACTTTGATATTGTGTGAAAAGATGTTTAGTGGAGACATATTGAGAGAAGATATACGGAGGGACAAGATCTTTTATCCTTCCTCAAAGCAATGGGTAAATCAACTGGATTAGTGTCACAAGTATCAGAAATAGAACAATCATCATTTGAGGAATCATTTTCAGTACTTACCTCCGATTCAGATGATTGAATTTGTTTCTGGAGAAGGTCAGGTTTACTTCTTCTCTGATACACTAGAGTTGGTGCTGAAGGTGCTGATTCCTGTGGAACATAAGGCATTGAAGGACCGGGAACAATTACTGACTCAGATTCAGGAGTTGAACTAGGACTCAAACTCAAACTAGGTGACAACTCGGGTTCAAGAGAGGGAACACTGACAGGTGTTCTCGGGAGGCTAGGACCAAGGATCAGAAACTCGGACTCAGACTCTAAGTCACTCGTGTTCTCCCCCTGAGACTGAGAATGAGTGAAGTATGACACATTTTCATGAAAGGTGACATCTTTGGAGACAAAGAATTTCCGACTTCGAGGATGATAACATTTGTACCCTCTTTTATTGGGTGCATAACCCAGAAAGATACATCTGACAGCACGGCGATCCAACTTGTTGCGATATTGTCTGTGAACATGAACAAAAGCAACACAACCAAACACGCGTGACTCAAGATTATGTAAGATAGGAACAGAGGGAAAATGTGAGAGCATAAATTGAGCAGGACTAATATTACCTAACACTCGATATGGGACCCGATTAATCAGATAGGCAGCAGTAAGAACTGCCTCCCCCAATAAGAGGTAGGAACAAACATTTGAAAAAGGAGAGATCAAGCAACTTTAAGTAAATGACGATTTTTTCTTTCTGCGACACCGTTGCGTTGTGGGGTGTCAACACATGTGAATTCATGAAGAATGCCATGTTTACTAGTGAAGTTGGAGAAGGTATGATTGACATATTCTTTACCATTGTCAGAACGAATTCTTTTTATACATTTCCCAAATTGTGTTTGTACCATATTATAAAATTGGATAAATATTTGTGGTACTTCGGATTTAGTATTCATTAAGAAAATCCAAGTTACCCGAGTACAATCATCAATAAATGAAACAAACCATTTTGCACCAAAAGTTTTAGAGGTAGGGGCAAGTCCCCAAACATCAGAATGAATCACATCAAAAGGTTCAGCACTTTTATTAAAACTGGAAGGAAAAGTTACACGATTGTGTTTTGCCAACTGGCAAACATCACACTTAAAAGACTCAACATAATGGTTTAAGAACAATGACGGAAAGATAGACTTAATTATATAAAATGGAGGGTGAACGAGACGCTTGTGCTGAAGCCAAATTTGTGAGGCTGAAAAGGAAGACTGAGACTAGAGACAGGAGGACAACACCTTTGGATGGTCATTAGAGAAGTAGTATAACCCTTCCTTTTCCTTAGAAATTCCAATCGTCTTCCCTGTGGTAAGGTCCTGAAAAACACAATGGGACGTAAAAAACATTACTTTACAATTTAGATCACAGGTAAGCTTATGGATGGAAATCAAATTGTGGGAGAGTGTAGGAACATGAAGCACAGATTGCAATTGAAATGGAGGTTGCAAGTCAATATTTCCAGTGCCAACAACACAAGCATGAGAGCCATCATCAACAGTGATATAAGGAATACTCGAAGGTGTGGTATAAGAGCATAATAATGTGGAATCAAATGTCATATGATTAGTATCACCAGAGTCAAGAATCCACACATTCTTAGGATATTACCATAAACAGTAAAAGATCGGGAACACAAACTTCAACCGTTCCACGTCATTCTGACTGAAGGAGGAAAGATCAGCTCCCCCTTTTTCAAATCTTTCAGTATCATGGGCATGTGTGGCAACATGTGCCTGATGCTGGTGCATGTTGCGAGAACTACCTCCTCGGCTAAGAACATGTTCCCTCCCATGTAGTTTGAAACACCTATCCTTTGTATGCCCTGATCGGTTGCAATGCTCACAATAGAATTTGTCACAACCATTCTTAGATGATGATGATGGTGGTCCTTGTCTTGTTGTTTTGCTAGCTACTAGTGTTGACACATCCGGGGGCTGTTCATGAAGCATAGCTTGACGACGGGTCTCCTCACTACGAACAGTGTAAAAAATTTCATTAAGATCAGGATATTTTTCCTTACCCAAAATCTGCACCCGAATAGGGTCAAATTCAGCATTAAGGTCTGCTAAGAAATCAAAGATCCTATCCCGCTCAACAAGAGTATTCAAGGTGGCAGTATCCTTGCTGCACTCCATCTTCAAATTCTGATATTGATCCAACTCAATCCAAAAACCATTGAGAACTCCAAAGTAATCATTGACTGAAAGACTTCCCTTCTTAGTGTTGAAGATTTTCCTCTTTAAATCATAACAAGCAGACATATCTTGTTTCATGGAATAACTTCGACGAAGATAATCCCAAACTGCCTTTGCACTTGAGAGATACATGTAATTTCTACTAATTTCTGGAGATATGGAGTTCCAAAGCCAAGTAATAATAGCAGAATCATCTTTATCCCAGGAAGGGAAATTAGGAGCAGTAATCAGAGGAGGATTGCCTTCAATATGATCTAGCATGTCACAAAATTTTAGAGTGTGTCTGATGAACTGAGACCATTGAAAATAATTTTTTCCGGTAAGCCAGTAACCTTTTTGAACGACAAAATCCTTAGCATTAAATGGGACTGGTGGATTTGTGGGAGGTGGAGGCGGAGGTGGTTGTTCGTTAACAATCTCGGCCATTGAAGGGACAATCGAGAGGAACAAACAACAGATATGTATTGAATCACAAAGAAAAAACACAAAATATCACAAAAAACAAGCAGTGTAGGGTTGCAAAGATGAGTGAACACTGAGAGATGTGAAGCAAAGCCAAGAAATAGAATGTACTACAAGGATGACCGGCAGTGAAATAAAGAAAAAAAACTTCGTTACAATGGCGGCTAGGGTTTATGAGGAAGTGAGACCCCCAAAAAACAGGAGCTCTGAAACCATGTTGTAAAATATTTCATTGATGGAATTAAAAGTTCTGCTTACAATGTTGCAACTACATGCTTTAAATAAGAGAGAATAGAAAACCTAATGAGTTTTGACTAATGGGCCTCATTACTAATACTACTAATTACTATTTACAGTCTAATATTTACAACAGTTGGTCTTGGTGGAATTGGAAAAACAACACTTGCCCAGCTTATATTCAATCATAAGAGGGTAGTCAGCCACTTTGAGCTAAGAATTTGGGTGTGTGTCTCAGAATATTTTAGTTTGATGATAATGTCAAAAGCCATCATAGAATCAGCAACTGGCCATGCTTGTGCAGAACTGGATCTAGAGCCATTACAAAGAAAACTTCTAGATTTGCTAAAAGGAAAAAGGTATTTGCTAGTGCTGGATGATGTATGGGATGATGAACAAGAAAATTGGTAGAGGTTGAAATCTGTATTAGCATGTGGGGGGAAAGGCGCTTCAGTTTTGGTCACTACTTGTAATCTAAAGGTTGCAACAATCATGGGAACAATGCTCCATCATGATTTATCAATGCTATCTGACACTGATTGTTGGGAACTGTTGAAACAACAAGCCTTTGGACCAAATGAGAAAGAACAAGAAGAACTTGTGGTCATAGGAAAGGAGATAGTAAAAACGTGTGGGGGAATGCCTCTTGCAGTAATTGTAACACCCCATAATGCTTTCAGGATTACCGACTGACATCGCTTGTGTTTGTATGTGAAGAATGCATGAGAACATATTGTGAATATGTGTGCATTGCTTGTGATTGTGTGTGAATAATGCATGAGAACATATTGTAGATATGTGTGCATTGTTTGATAAATATGATGATGATAATTTAAAGTATGAATACTTTGATGGTGTGAATATGTTGTGTGTGCAATCATGTGATATAATTCAAATGTGATGAATTATTTGAGAATGCATGGGATTAAGATGCGAGAACGGTCTTAAGTGCATTTGGTTGTTGATTTCATACGCATCATTTAGTCAAGAGGCAATGTTTGCTAGTTTCTTGGAGGCTAGTGACTTGTCCCAAACCTAGAGCGGGGTTTGAAAGCTTAGGGAACGGGCTTTTGTTGTTATCGGTCTAGGGAACGGACCCGGTTTAAATGTAAAAACCAAAAATGATAACAAGTGTTGGTACCACATGGCATGAGTTGCATTGAGTCTCATGGAATGAATATATGATTGTTGTATGAAGTTATGCATAGGTGTATATACATGACTTGTGTAATTGTGAACTATAGGTATGTTTGATGATTGTCCATATTTGCCTATATACATATATATATATATATATATATATATATATATATATATATATATATATATATATATATATATATATATATATATATATATATATATATATATATATATATATATATATATATATATATATATATATATATATATATATATATATATATATATATATATATATATATATATATATATATATATATATATATATATATATATATATATATATATATATATATATATATATATATATATATTCTTTGTGAAGTATATGATGAGTTATGATGAAGTATGGTGAGAATGGTGGAATATGCATATGTGCATTACTTATGTAAATGCATGGAAATTTACTCTGATTATTCATATATTATCCGTGGGATTTATAAGGGTGTTACAGCAATAGCATTAGGAAGTTTGTTGCGTTTCAAAAGAGAGAAAATAGAGTGGCTCAATGTCAAGGAAAGAAAGCTATGGAATTTACAAGGTGAAGATTATGTCATGCCTGCCTTGAGATTAAGCTACTTGAATTTTCCAGTAAAACTGAGACAATGTTTTGCTTTCTGTGCACTATTTCGAAAAGATCAAATAATAAAAAAGAAGTTTTTGATTCAGCTTTGAATGGCTAATAGAATCATTTCATCCAATGCAATTCTGGAAGCAGAAGATATTGGCAATAAGGTGTGGAATGAGTTATATTGGAGATCATTTATTTCAAGATATAGAGAAAAATGATATTGGTGAAATTGAAAATTTTAAAATGCACGTCCTTGTTCATGATCTTGCTCAATCTATTGCAGAAGAGGTTAGTTGTTGCAATCCAGAAGCAATCCTATCTAAAAGAATCCTCCACCACTCAACTTATGGTGAGAAATTCTCTAGGGTAGTCGGTTCAATTCAGTTGCATGGAATCAAATCATTAAGGACCTTTTTAACACAATATTACAATTGTTCAAGTACTAAAATGTTATTCTTTACGAGTACTTGACTTCCAAAGAATGGAAGAGTTTCCATCTTTGATTTTTCGTTTGAAACATTTAAGATACTTGAATCTTTCTCGTGGAAAATTCAAAACTCTTCCAGAATCATTATGCAAGTTACGGAATTTGCAGATTTTAAAGTTAGATTATTGTTCAAGGCTCCAAAGGTTGCCTTATGGGTTGGTACAGTTAAAAGCTCTACAACATCTATCTTTGAAGCATTGTAGCTCACTATCTAGCTTGCCTTCGCATATAGGGATGTTGGTTTTGCTAAAAAAGTATACTGCTGGAATTACCCTGCCTTCCATCACTTAGTGATTTGCAACTAGGAGGGACATGGAACCAATAATTACTATGTTCAATTTATAAACATATTACTCTTAAAATCCTTCGGTTCAGCCATAATGAAGAGCTAAGTTTCTTTCTAGATGGAATGCTAAGAAACCTCTCTTCTCTAAAGGGTCTTCACATTAATGGCCTTCCCAAACTTGAGCAACTCCCTATTGAAATCAATAACATTAATGATATCCAAGAGATATGTATCGGCAACTGCAAGAACCTCAAGTCATTTCCAGATGAAGTTTTACAAAGTGTCGCTACTGCGAAAATCGGCACCGGCTATGACAGAAGAGTCGCCACCGTGCGTTATTTATCCCAACAGAGGGAAAGGAAACGCTTAGAGTAAACCTAACGCAAAACGGGAAAGGAATGATCGTCGCAACCAAATTCCTAGATTCAGGAGTCGATTATGCAAGGGGAAGGTATTAGCACCCCTCACGTCCGCCGTACTCGACGGGATCCACGCTTGTTTTCTGTCTAAGGGATTGTATTCTATCTACTCTAAAGGTCAAGGGACAAAAGGAAAGAAAAGATAAAAGAGACTCGGTAGAGCTTTGTCGCTCTATGCCTACGTATTCCCTTGTGCAATGGGAAAGTCAAAGTCTACGTAGTTCTGCTAACTACGGATGAAGGTGGGAAGGTTGCTCGCTAGGATACATCATCTTATGCCTGCGTACTTTCATACAGCATGAAAGATCAGAGCAAACGTAGTTCGGGCTACGGAAGACACAAGCTTGTCTGACTGTTTTTTATTACCTTATGAAAGGGTTTTTCTTGATTAAGAGTCCAAGCGGACAAAAATGACACTTTGATGTTTGTTTTGAATTTTTTACGAAAGAAGTGTTTTTTAGTTTGTTTGCAACCTCTGGCGCACTAGAGACTATGATTTGAGAGTGACTACATCGCGTGTCACCCAAAGGGTGCCACACTAAGCAGCCAGACTACTGGAAAGAAGTTCTCCAGCAACCCTTTCTCAAATAGCTTAAGGCTCGTAACGTACGACATCGATTAACCTTATTACTGTATTTTTGAGTTGTTTTGAGATAGAAGAGAAAGAAGCTCTAAAAAGCCTAGGGTTGAAAAGGGAATAAAAACTAACCTAATGTTGTCATGCATGGATAAGAATCCTAATGTTTGTCATGATTCCCTCCTGCACAGAGGAAATCAGAGATCCTAGGGGATAAACAGAAAAGAAAGCAAACAAATACAGTAAAATGCATGCAATGCAGCAATACAAGTGAGGCAAGGGAGTCCTGCTCTACCTCGAACCTGGGAAAACAACAGGCAAAGTGAATCAACATTCACTTCAAACCTAGGGGGCAAGCTGTACAAGCCAACAAACAATACAGAGAAACAAAAACCAAACAGAGGAGGCAGCCCAAGCAGCAGCACCAAACTCCTATAGTTGACAGCATAAGCAGCAGCTCTGGACAACAACAGTTGATTAAACAGCAAAAAGCTGACAGCAACAACCTTCATCTTCATGAATAGCTTCAACCAGCAAACTTCAACAAGCTTCTATCTTCACACTCACCATACTTCAACAAGCTTTAACAAACCCCTAGCTTCAGCCAGCAAACAACTTCATCAAGCAAGCAGCTTCAACAAGGAAACAGCTTCAACAAGCAACTGGCTTCAACAAGCAACACTCCTAGCTTCAACAAGCTTCTAGCTTCAACAAGCACAAACTTCACTCTCAACAAGCTTCAACAAGCAACCTCAAAGGGAGAGTCAATTAACAAGATCAGGTTGAAATGTTAAGTAACTTAATGACAACCAAAGGAAGCCACTAAGAACTTCACATTATAAGAGAATGGCATCCTCAAAGTTCTACTCTTAAAGCATGCCACTCATCCCTCCAAAGGAGAGATGTGGCTTCTTCAATAGGACTTGATGTCATTGGATTGCATGGAGATGAACAATATACTCTATGTTTGAAGAAACAAGCAAAACTAATCTAATGCTCTTCCTAAAACCCTAGTTTCCCTAAGCTCCTGACAAGCATCCACAAGATGAGAAAATCTTCATGCCCATGCTCTTTCAATCTCTCCAAAGAATATTCAAGTGGTCTTCATCTTCATCCAAGCACAAGAGCACCACCACCCTAATCTAAGGGGAACTATTGAATTAAACTAGTCAAGTTAGTGTGTTAGAAACTCCTAAATGTTAGTCTTAAAACTAATTCTAATTAAAATACCAAAAATGATTGTAAAATCCTATAAAAAATTCTAAGGGTTCCTAAACCTCTTAAGAATCACTCCATACAAAAATCAGGGGGTTAACCATTCATTAAGACCTAAAACTATGTCCTAAACCTAAGGGTACTATCCTAAAACCCTAAATCTACACCACTTAATGTCTAATGTTCAAAACAGCCTAAAACTCTCTCACAAAAATGTGAGACGATTGCTAGAGGTACATGCATATCTAAGCTAACTATACCAAAAAGAATCAACTCAAAAATCCTTACCAATTACTCATGCTAAAATCAGCAAGATCACGCATCAAACAAAATGAATTTAAAACCAATTAAACTTCAAAAAATGCAATAAAAAATAAAATGCATGAATTAATTATTTTTTAATCCTATTAAAATCTAGACTCTTTAAGGAGTCAGGGGAAAAAAATCTCACCTAAATTGCTTAATTTTTCCATTTATGGTGATTTTATTTCTAACTATATGCAAAACATAAAAATGAAAGAAATATGAAGAAAATTAATAAAACTGCGTGACAAATAGCAATATAAACCAGTTATTCTCCAGGATAGGCCCAAAGGTGGGGTGTAAGAAGCGTATCTGACTAAGCCCAAAACAAAAATAAAAGAAAATAATTA